TGAGGCATCGGATATGCTTCCCACCACGTACGGGAAGCCCCCAGCCCTTACTTTGTGCCCAGAACTGACTTCCAAAATATTGTCCTTCATGACCTGCATGTCTAATAGATAGTAGTTGATTTTAAGGAACCCAGGCCCCGCCTAGGGGCGGTGTCCAATACCAAGTTGAGGTAGATGAATTTATGGTCAAGCCCCCGAGCGTAAGGGAGTTCGCTGATTCAGGGAAAGACAATAGGATGGTGGATGTCGGAAGAGTCAGTACCCCAGCTCCAAGGCCTTGAAGCTGACATGACGTGGGAAAGGCTGGAGTCCCCCACGAGGTACCTGGGAATTCAAATAACAAAGGACGGACCGGCTCCTCAGATGGCACAGAACCTATTGACCAGCCAAATTAACAAAATGGGAAAATGGAGCCAGACCTTCACATCCCTGCTGGGCCGTGCGCTAACCATCAACACCTCCATATTCTCCATGACGTGGTACATCGCCTCGATCTGGACCATACCTGACCACACAATCAAAGAACTGAACCAGAAAGTGAGAGCATACTTATGGTCACGAGACCCCAACAGAGATAACTACATGGTACATACCAAAGGTAGCATGGCACTACATCATGAGGAGACCGACTCAAGGAGGCCTGGGGTTAATAGACCCCAGGGGCCCAGACAAGAAACGAAAGCTCTCCAAACCAAATAATCAAACTGTTGACCAATCAATCGCTAGCCTGGAACAAGCTCGCTCTAGACAGTATTAGAAGTGTGGCACCAACGGCAAGCCCCCCTAATATGTCAGGTCTCTTCTGGGTGATGACTGGGCTCCGAAAACAGGAAGGAGGAGGCGAGGGAGAGGAGAAGCTCCACAACAGGAGCAAGGTTCCTTATCCTACTGGACAGCTGTTACATCTTCGACGCACACGGGTCCTACCGGACCCGACTTAGGGCCGGAAGGACACATCAGGGCCTAAAGGCCCGACCTTGGCGTATTACAGGCCCTAAAGGTCTGATCTTGGACCAGTACCCGACGGGCAGGCCCAAACGGCATTATCGTTTGGGCCTGGCGGCGCTCTTGAGGCTGCCGCCCGCCGGTTGGGGCTGAACCGTCCATCTGGACGGTTCAGGGCACGGCCAGGCCTCGCAGCATTGAGGCCGGCCTCTCCCCCACCGGTATAAGTACCGGTACAGCCTCACTTGGAGGGATCGAACCACCGGCACTCTACCGGTGCGTTATGGTCAGCGCCAGAGTGCTGTTTGATGCGCTAAGTTAGCGCAGGAGCGAGCAAGGAGCAGCAGCGGCAGCGCAGCATTAGCGCAGCGGCAAGCGGAGCAGCAGCGGCAGCGCAGCATTAGCGCAGCGGCAAGCGGAGCAGCAGCAGGGCGACTGAGCCAGCACGGCGGCCATTGCCGCCTGAGGTACCTGGGAGCGGAGGACCTCTCCTCCCTCCCTCGTCAGCTCTCTCTCTCTCTCTCTCTCT